ACATTCTGCGTAAATATCCTCTTTTTATTTTCAAGTCAAACTCGAATAATTTTAATGTATAATGATACGATCTTCACGGAAAGGTAAATTAATTTATATTATATAATATAATGTAAATATAGTATAGATTTGTGTGATACGCTTCTTGTCTAGTCTTGTGTTCAATTATACAAGCGCTAAGATGGCTTTTCTTTTTTGCTAGACTTATTATATCATCAGTAAAAGGAGGACAAACTTTAGAAAAACTTTTTATTCCTTTGAAAATGGGTTTAGAACAATTATGCCCCTTTTCAACTCTGTGTGTTACAAATGGGTTATGAGAAATGCAGGAGTTGTGACATTAGGTAAAATATGGATGGTTACGGTTAACAGGTATAAGTGCAAACATAACGGTATGGTACATAGTGTTGGAAAAACACTCAAGTATGCATGGTGCAGTGCAGAGGCAAGACTATAAAGTTTGGGAAACACTCTACTGTCACGTGTTTCCTCTATTGTTAACTGGAAAATTATGATGTACAGTACAGGGGCAAGACTACTAAAATTGAGTGCATTGTGATGATGTCTCAATAAATAATAGCTCATATAGCTTTATATATAATATATATATATAGTTAGTTATATATAAATAAATTTATGGTCTCAATACCATATACTCGTATATGTTGAGATCATAAATATAAACTGTATTATATATCATATCAAGAATAAAGTTATATTGTATAATATAAAATCAATTAAATTTTTCATGACTTATCAACGGAACTCAAATATATTGAGCTCATTTTCTACAGAAGAAGCTAATTTACCTACCGCGCTTTTAATGTATAGATATACATAATTTGCAATGCCACGTTAATAAATTTTCTGTACTGTACATTCCATCAATTTTAATAGATCAACATATTTCACATACATAATAAAATATTTTATGAGTAAATGCAATAAGTAAAACGTGTCAACACGTTTGTTTATCTTACTAGCAGTGGCGTGTCGTGACATTTGATAGTAGGGAAGTTGTGTTTCTGTAAGAAGCCGACTTCCAGGGGCAATCGGTTAATTGCGCGTCAGTGATGGTCAAGGGTCCATTCATATCNTACAGATACTGATTTGAATTCAAGTTCAAAAGTCAAATGGAACAAGTCATTTTATCATTAACTTAGATCAGAGGTGGCAAACCTATGGCACATGTGCCCAAAGTGGCACGTCAAAGAAATCATCCAACACGTAACATATTATATGATATCGGTTTATTATCATTTTTTTCAATCAGGTTCTTTATATTTACTCTAATTACAGCATATTATTTTATTTATTTAAATATAGTTTTTTTAAAACTCTTTTCACCCTGTGGACACTAAGAGGGCTTTTTTATTTAGCAAGCCCACAATGGGACAGCCGGGTGATCGATCTCGGGTCCACAAGAGCGATAAGCTACCACTTTGACCACTCAGCCATTCGGCCAAATTTAAATATAGTTACTCAAAGTCTAAAACTACTGCACGCATAAACATTTTTAAAGAAAAGTATGCTTACTATGTGGCACGCAGACTCAAAAAGGTTTGCCATCCCTGCCTTATGTCATCGGGCTAGCTGTTATCTAGCCCAATAACATATGGCATTGGTTGGCTTGTAGTTTTATAATGTATTGAGTTTTAGTGATGTTGTTTGTTTATATATAAGTTTCTTCATTGTAATGGTTAAATAATTCCTGAATTATTAAGTCTAATCACAACATAACAAATCTGACAACAGTAATTTTGGAAATATTAAAAGTTAATTCTAGTTAATTAAAAGAATCTTTTTTTTGTTTTGTTTTTTCATTTTTAACTTTGTCCTGTGGGCACTAAGATAATAATTTTTCCATATCCATTGTGGGTTTGACTGAGTCCATAATAGGGCATCTGGATGGCAAGGGACAGAGCACAACAGTCAGGACTAACCAATAAAAAAAATTTCTGGATTACACTCAAAAGATTTGATCCCTGGTTCCTCAGAGCAGTATGGTGATGCCTTAACTGCCTTGACCCATTAAGCCATCAGTTAAAAGAATCAGAAAGAGAAATGTAAAAATATTTCTTATGAACATGCAAACTTTACTCTGCAGTTGTGTGATGAAAATATAGCAACAGAGAAATAAGCCAAGTGCCTATGACAAAAAATATGACAAATGTGTACTTTTTGTTGTTTGGTACTGTTTTGTTATTGAACAAATGTATTTTTACATTGTTTTAATGATTCTTTTAATCAAGATGTGACAAAACCAAATCTTTTTTTTTTAAATTCCAATTATATTAAATTTATATGAGTGTTGAACTGAAAGAATTTAATAAATTAATTCTCCAGTTCATGAATTGTTTCACTATGCATGTAAGGAAATTTATTTTCTTATTCTAACTAAAAATATTCAAAAAAATAGAGAGATTAATTATAATAATAAAATATGAAAATATGTATTATTAATAATAAAATTATGAAAATATGTGATAAATTTAAAAACAAGTTTAATTGAACTTGATATCACTGCATTTGTATATTAAATGTACAGCTTTTGTTAAAAATAAAATAAATAGTTTATAGTGAAAAGATAAATACCATTCAAAATTTTGTTAGAAAATTCATTTAATATAAATTATTAACATTGTGATTCAATTCTGTTGGAGTTCAGTTTCGCATGCCTGTTGCGCACCCTTGACTTGATCCCAGTGTGGATTCCAATGTGGTCTTTTAAGTTACAACGCAGACTAAACCTTTTCCCACAATAATGACATAGAAATGGTTTCTCTCCAGTGTGGACCCTCATATGTATCTTTAAATGTGTTCCTTGAGAAAATTTCTTCTGGCACAAATGACATTCATATGGTTTTTCACCCGTGTGTATTCTCACATGTGTTTTAAGGTTACAATTATTCTGGAACCTTTTACCACATATTTCACAAACAAATGGTCTTTCACCCGTATGTATTATGTTATGTTCTTTTAGAGCACCTTTACTCTTGAATCGTTTACCACAAGTTTCACACATATAGGGTCGTTCCTCGGATTTTAAAATGGTCCCATTGTCACTATGAGTCAATAAGTGTTTACGCAAGGAAGGTAGGTGAACAAAAGTCTTGTTACAAATATTACAAATAAATGGTTTCTCTCCACTATGAATCCTATGATGTGCTTCTAGGTGATTAATTTGACGAAATCTCTTGCCACACATGTCGCATGCATGTGGCTTGGCATCCGTATGAATTAACGTGTGCGTCTTTAAATTTGAATAAAATTTAAATTGCTTATTACAAACAGTACATATAAACGATTTTTCTGGAATATGTTCTTTTTTATGTATTAAAAATGCAGATTTACTTACAAAATTTTCACCACATTCTTCACAAGAATAGTTATTCAATTCATCAAAGATATCCATACAATTATGAAAACCATTATCTTCGACACCATTCTCATTGCATAACTGGCACTGTTTCTGTTCATCTGTCTCCGTATTTGAATCTGTCTCATCACTTGAGTTGGAATTATTATCAGGCACAATTAAAACTAGTGCAGGTGCTTTTGTTCTATTGTTATGGACATCTTCATTCTGAAGCACATCAAAACTTTCTTTGGAATCTAGAATGTAAATGAAAAATCAATAACAGTTATTTATAACGTAATAAGAACTAGAAAATAATTTATACTTTTGAGACATTATATGAAAACTGATAAAAAATCTGTAATCAATAAGTTTAAAAATTATCGAAGAACTGTCTTTTTGGTGTTAAAACAATTTCAAAGAGTGAAATGTTATTTACTCTACCAATGACAATAATATATATATATATATATATATTATTGCTTTAAAGTATAAACACATATACAAAGCCTTGGTATATGCATTAATTAATTAATTAAAAAATAGTACAAATACCGTCATTTCACATTCAGTTAAAAATAATATATAAGTAAAAATAATCATAAAGTAATCTATTTTTCTACTTTATTTCATATACTTCAACAAAAATCAAGAGAAAAAATTACTTTTCCTAATTGACTGTGAAGATGCAAAATCTTGGTCCTATCTATTGTAGAAGGCCAAGATTCTGTACTATTTTCTTTCATAACTCCAAATTTTCTATCTTAACATTTTAATTTTAAAACAGTGTTAACTTTATATCTGAATTTCAAAAAGAAATACTTACCTGAAGTTAATATTTAGAATTAAATTAGAATGTTCTAATTTTACTTTAGTATAAAATTAATATTGATATATCTCCATTAATAACAAATATGTCTAGAATACTTAATGTGATTATTATTTTATTCTTCACTTCATACAAACTTTGTATGAGTCTTACTGTGTCTTCAGCTTATGAATTATAAGGTCTTATTTTTGAATTTGAGCAATTCAATGAAATATTTGAAGATGCAAATTGGATAGCACCTTAGATGTTTATTAAATAACTTGCATAGTTGTCTTAAATATTTTTTAATATTAGAAAATACAGTGGAACCTCAGTATATGACCATAATCCATTCCTGGTGTTTGGACTTATACCGAATAGGACATATACCAAACCAACCTTTACCATAAGAAGTAATGTAAAAATGATCAATCCATTCTCATGTAAAAAAAATGGCTGGCTTTAAACACCTCGCTTTCCTGGCTAGTTCCTGCTTGATTTTTCATGAGATCACCATGTATCTTTTTAGCTTTCTCGCAAATAATTGCTTCTGATACACTGTCACCAGAACACTGTTTTTCAGTATTCCTAAGCAAAAGCAATTTCTCAACATGATCTAATGTCTTCAATCTGTTTAAAAATTGATTTAACCCCTTTCGCAACGTTAGCAGATTTAATAATGTCTTTATTTTTCACGATTGTCAATATTGTCATTCTCGGAATATGGTATGCAACAGTTAAATCTCGAACACGCATGCCACCTTCATATTTCTCAACAATCTCTTTTTTCAGTTCCATTGTGATTTTAGTCATTTTTTTATTTTTTTGTTGCCTTTTTGCAATTCATAATTAATAAAAATAATAACATTTTACTTACAAACTAAAATAAAAAGAAATTTAACAAAGTTATAAACTGTGGCACTGCGAACATTTAGTCTGGTCTAATACACCGATAGTGCTACTCATTCATAGATGGCGTGTATAATTGAATTAAGTCGTATACTGAGCAAAATTTGTTTCGTCCAAACAGGACATATTCCGAATTGGACATATTCTAAAGCAGATGAATACTGAGGTACCACTATATAGAAATCAGAAATGGAAATGAAAAGGAGCTTAAATAATATAAATCAAAATCAAAGCTGTACACTATGCCATCTGAGTAAAAAAATCAAAAGAACTGATGTGACCCCAGTGGTGCCCACAGACTATAAAAACTGAGGGGAACGAGCTATAAAAAAGGGCATTGTATATTATGAAAAAGCTTCAAACTCTATGATTCAACATTGGATCAGCACTCCCACAAGATGGCACTGGTTACACTCAGGGCTAAATTATTTTTGAAAACAAGGTTTGGTCAACTTATGATGAACAATAACTATATAAAAATATAGTTATTGTTCATCATAAGTTGACCAAACCTTGTTTTCAAAAATAATTTAGCCCTGAGTGTAACCAGTGCCATCTTGTGGGAGTGCTGATCCAATGTTGAATCATAGAGTTTGAAGCTTTTTCATAATATACAATGCCCTTTTTTATAGCTCGTTCCCCTCAGTTTTTATAGTCTGTGGGCACCACTGGGGTCACATCAGTTCTTTTGATTTTTTTACTCAGATGGCATAGTGTACAGCTTTGATTTTGATTTATATTATTTAAGCTCCTTTTCATTTCCATTTCTGATTTCTATATAGTGGTACCTCAGTATTCATCTGCTTTAGAATATGTCCAATTCGGAATATGTCCTGTTTGGACGAAACAAATTTTGCTCAGTATACGACTTAATTCAATTATACACGCCATCTATGAATGAGTAGCACTATCGGTGTATTAGACCAGACTAAATGTTCGCAGTGCCACAGTTTATAACTTTGTTAAATTTCTTTTTATTTTAGTTTGTAAGTAAAATGTTATTATTTTTATTAATTATGAATTGCAAAAAGGCAACAAAAAAATAAAAAAATGACTAAAATCACAATGGAACTGCAAAAAGAGATTGTTGAGAAATATGAAGGTGGCATGCGGCATGCGTGTTCGAAATTTAACTGTTGCATACCGTATTCCGAGAACGACGATATCAACACTCGTGAAAAATTAAGACATTATTAAATTTGCTAATGTTGCGAAAGAGGTTAAATCAATTTCTAAACATAGATCGAAGACATTAGATTATGTTGAGAAATTGCTTTTGCTTTGGATAACTGAAAAACAGTGTGCTGGCGAGTGTATCAGAAGCAATTATTTGCAAGAAAGCTAAAAAGATACATGCTGATCTCATGAAAAATCAAGCACGAACTAGCCAGAAAAGTGAGGTGTTTAAAGCCAGCCATTTTTTTTCATGAGAACGGATTGATCATTTTTACATTACTTCTTATGGGAAAGGTTGGTTTGGTATACGTCCAAACACCAGGAACGGATTAAGGTCGTATACCGAGGTTCCACTGTACTAATTTACTATACTAATAATGTATTTTTTCATACTTTTCGGTTATCAGACCAACCCCAGTCCCCAATTGAATTGGATAATCGATGTTCTACTATATTGACCAAATTATCTAACATAATCGTGCAATCACATTTTATCATATATAGATCATTCATTAATCTGTCTGCTATTACAGCATCCACAAGAGCAAATGGATACTTTCTATAAGCAAAATTTATTTTTTCATGGAAGCTAGCCATGTTAGTTTTTGAATACTCAAGTCTTTCAGGTCATTGAGCTCAACAGTGAAACATCGCTGATGTCAGTCTCAACAGTCCATTTAGAAACGTTTTCTGACTGTTGAGCCAACCATTGAATATAGAAACATATATTATATTACTTACTACCTTGGTACCCAATATACAGGGGGTGCAAAAGTAGGTATACAGTTGAGAATCTGAGAAATACAAATCTCTGGTGTTCATTATTATTAGTTCGTATTCCTTATTTGTGATTTAATTTGTACATAAAATAAATGTTTTTCTTTGTTTTTTTCCATAACAACTGTGTACCTACTTTTGCACCCCCCCTGTATATTTTATTTTAGTAATATACCACCAGTTGTAACACCTAAAATAAGTTATAATAAATTCAGTATGCTAGTATAATATCCTTTTATTCAAATGAACCCTTCTCTGTATCATTTTCTTCTATACTAGATCTTTCTTTAATAATTTGAATTTCTTGAATATTNACATTCTGCGTAAATATCCTCTTTTTATTTTCAAGTCAAACTCGAATAATTTTAATGTATAATGATACGATCTTCACGGAAAGGTAAATTAATTTATATTATATAATATAATGTAAATATAGTATAGATTTGTGTGATACGCTTCTTGTCTAGTCTTGTGTTCAATTATACAAGCGCTAAGATGGCTTTTCTTTTTTGCTAGACTTATTATATCATCAGTAAAAGGAGGACAAACTTTAGAAAAACTTTTTATTCCTTTGAAAATGGGTTTAGAACAATTATGCCCCTTTTCAACTCTGTGTGTTACAAATGGGTTATGAGAAATGCAGGAGTTGTGACATTAGGTAAAATATGGATGGTTACGGTTAACAGGTATAAGTGCAAACATAACGGTATGGTACATAGTGTTGGAAAAACACTCAAGTATGCATGGTGCAGTGCAGAGGCAAGACTATAAAGTTTGGGAAACACTCTACTGTCACGTGTTTCCTCTATTGTTAACTGGAAAATTATGATGTACAGTACAGGGGCAAGACTACTAAAATTGAGTGCATTGTGATGATGTCTCAATAAATAATAGCTCATATAGCTTTATATATAATATATATATATAGTTAGTTATATATAAATAAATTTATGGTCTCAATACCATATACTCGTATATGTTGAGATCATAAATATAAACTGTATTATATATCATATCAAGAATAAAGTTATATTGTATAATATAAAATCAATTAAATTTTTCATGACTTATCAACGGAACTCAAATATATTGAGCTCATTTTCTACAGAAGAAGCTAATTTACCTACCGCGCTTTTAATGTATAGATATACATAATTTGCAATGCCACGTTAATAAATTTTCTGTACTGTACATTCCATCAATTTTAATAGATCAACATATTTCACATACATAATAAAATATTTTATGAGTAAATGCAATAAGTAAAACGTGTCAACACGTTTGTTTATCTTACTAGCAGTGGCGTGTCGTGACATTTGATAGTAGGGAAGTTGTGTTTCTGTAAGAAGCCGACTTCCAGGGGCAATCGGTTAATTGCGCGTCAGTGATGGTCAAGGGTCCATTCATATCATTTGTTCGATAAGCCAATAAAAACCATAGACTTCTCTAAATGTATTTTTAATATCACAATTACATTCCGAATCGCTAGCCACGATATAAGGGCTAAAATTATAAATAAAATAATAAAAACTTACTAGGTGAAATAAAATGTGTGGTGGATATACAGTACATACCTGGTACAAAATA